AAAAGCTCACTTGAGCTTTCAGCTCAGGTGACCTAAAAAGAACGGCAATGCCCATGTTTTGCAATGGGAAACCAAAAATATCTGACCGAACAGTACATAAAATAAAAGGTCATAAAGGCCCTACCTTACAAAGCTTCCTTGAAAGTTTGTTCTGAAAATTATTCAGTATAATTCGAGGAGTATCCGAGTTGCGGCAAAGAGATGGGTATCTTAATTATTATAGAAAGAACGTCAGTATTTTGTTACTGAAAACCCCAAATACGTGTAAAATAGAAAAGTTAAGTAGCAGTTGCAAAAAAACAGTATGTAATACAGATTTGACAAAAGTTTCATTAAATTGCATTCAGTGGTGTAAGAGAAGTTGCGGATAAGAGATGGCTAGCCTCAAGTGTTATAAAAGTATATACGGACGAAGGTACGGTCGGACACATCACTATATACCCCCACTTTTTAAAAGAAATTTTTATTAGCCATACACCTATATCATCATCACAGAATCGATTATTTAATATCTATACTTCGCCACTTTTGCTCAAGTTGCTGGTTGTAAATCTTGACATTTATAACTCCTTTCGACTTTTTTTATCACTGTCTTTTTGGGGGATAGTGATCATTGAGGGAACAGGGATTATTTAACACCTTTACTTGGAAAGTAACTGAAAACTAATACCAGTGGATGCATATTTGCATTCTAACACTCTCATTATCTTTCATATCAATTCGCTAGGATTGTCTTTTTTAAATGGATCCGATCGACACACACCGTCAATTGCTGAATACTTGTCTTTCTTTGTCAACATCCTGTTTGTTGGGATGTGTTTTGTTACATCAGCGATGCAGGCACTCTTATGAATAAAAGAGAAAGAGAATCTGCTTAAAATTTATTTAAAGAACAATGAAAACAAGGGTATTTCGATCTCAATGTAATGCTCATTCTGAATTTCTCATTCCGTACCAGATTTAACCTCTAAATCTCAGCCTGAAATTAATAGAAATTAGATTATAATAGATATGAAATAAAACTAAAAAGGCGTATACTAATGTAGCCATTAACATAGAGAGACAGAGTGGTAAGAAGAAAGAGAACAAAAACAACGAAATTAACACATTTTCTTATACATTTCATTATAGCTTATCTATTTCGAGTGATTTCATCTCTATTAGATGCCGTTTTGATATTTACTGCCATGAGGTGATTTCACCTATTCGAATGGGAGATATTACCTATTCGAATTGGTGATAACACCTATTTGATCCGAATTGATGATATCACTTATTCGAATAGGTGATGTCACGTATTCGAATTGGTGATATCACCTATTTTATTTGAATATGTGATATCATGTATTCAAAAGGGTGATATCACCATTCAAATCAAATAGGTGATATCACCAATTCGAATACGTCAATCACCAATTCAAACTATATATGAGATAACATCTGTTCGCAAGACAATGCATCTACTGCATACATCTACTTTATAACAGGAAAAAACATTTCAATCTCTGTACATAAACAATAAAACAGAAAGAAAGTATCAACAAATATTGCAAGACAGTCTGCAGGTAAAATATATATTATTTGATAGGGATCGGTAAAATATTGTGCTTTAAATTGTCTCAGACTATAATACAGTGGATAATAACACCTCTTCCAACATTGTGAAATTTGTGGCCCCTGGGTCAGGAATTCGGGAAGGGGGGGTCTTGATTATATAGTGAAAATACATAAGTATATAGCAAACAAACTAAGTACATAGTTATGATGAGCAAGCTAGGATGCCTCTTCCAGAAGAAGTAAAAAAAAATTGTGGCTACGGGGTCAGAGGTCCTAGGATGCCTCTTCCAGAAGAAGTAAAAAATTTGTGGCTACGGGGTCAGAGGTTCTGGTGTTAACGGGAGGGCTTATTGATAATATTTCTTTGAAATCTTCTCTGCTTTTTGATATTGAGCAAACTTAGTACAAAGTTGTAATAAGCAAGGGTATTTTTACAAGATTTTTGAAACTTGGAACCACTTGATCAAGTTTTCTGGTGTTGGGAAGGGCTTTATTGTATTATGCTGAGAGAAGTTATTCCCCTTTCATTATGCACCTGTGATAATCAATCACTGTAAATAATGTAATTTTAAAAATCAATTAAATAAAAGAATTATACAATTTTTTTTATAAGTATATATATAACAAAAGCACTTTTTATGGTCAGGTTGACCTGTAAATACATGTAATAGATAAATACAAATGCGACTACCTTACCTTTGTTCGATATTAGAGTTTAACTATAGCACTATTGTTTTGTTCAGTTTAAATGGTGATAGTGACAAATGGGGGCAAGTAAATATATCTGCTTTAAGACTTGTTAATAAGTACTAATTAGTTTATTGATTCGCAGCTAGGTTAAGGACTCCCATATTTAATGGGACATTTAATATCTAACCCTATGAAGAGGCTCGGGAAAGCTATTATCACGTCACGCTAAAATAATACAAATGAATCTCGATGAATAAATACTATATGTTCTTTTTAAAACATACTCTAATACTTTCATTTCTCAAAAGTATTATTAAGTTAAATGAATGTGCAACTTATCTTGCCAAAATAGCATTTAGTAAAACTTATGTAAAATGAAAGCCAGCTTGATATCGCTGTACTTACTGAGATGACTTCATTTCTTAGTTTGACGCGCAGTTTCTTTGTACTTGAGGCGTGTATCAAGCTATTATCGTAGTTTGTAAAAATTGAAATAAATACGAAACAAGCTTAAGTGGACCAAAATAAAGACATATTCTAAAATATATTAATCCGCATTTTATTGTCAAACTAAAATTAATGTGTAGACTTTGTATCGCCGTATTCATATACGTTTGTACAGTAACGTGCTAGAATGAGGTGTCCAGCACCTCGAAAATATCACAAGTTCAATTTCAACGATATCCGCTTCACTATAGCTTCTGAATTTTTAAAAACTTTTAGCTACATGTATTATTCCGACTATTCTGAAAAGTGCTCGTTGTGCATTGTTTATATATTCCGAAATGTAAAATTATTCCAGTGCGTATTACATCTATGTCTGGAGTTTATAGAAAGAGTGCTAAATTTTACACAATTCCCGAGGAAGTTGCCCTCAGCACTTTTCATGTTAATGAATTTGTCTCAAACAAAACAGAACAAGAAAATATTGATGTTGCCATCAATTGTCGCCTGGGAAATAAATAAAGTAAAATCTCGATCATCAAACCGCTTCGATTTGTGTGATAAAGGCATATATCTGAAATATCGAGACTTCACTCGAGGAGATTTACGGAAAGCTTCTAATCGGATGAAAATCGAACAAAAACGATACCCTTTTAAAACTTTATAATTTCCTGAAGAAACTGTTGGCTGCATAAAATATAAATTAGAATCAGACACATGTCTCACCTATCATCAAAAATATATTTGACTTAATGAATATAAAACACAAACTGTGTTAAGTACGTTATTTTATGCGATAAGTGAAAATTTAATGTTCTAAAAAAGGGACCTGTCGTTTTGTCGATAGTAAATGATAAGCAACTTTATATATGACATATGAAAAACATATATATTTTTAAAGATGTACTTCATGGCAGTAAATATATTGCGTATCTTGTAATTTACAAAGGGAAAGAACATTCTGATGTATAATCTTTTTAATGTATAGTTAACCTTATTTCTGAATAACTTCTCCCACCTCAATCCCATACACCAAACCTTAAATTTATACGTATAGAGCAGCCTGTACTCCGGGGTGCCATGCATTTTATAGCGGAAAGATACCCTATGTCGTTGAACTTTTAAGATCTTTGTAGTAGTACATATATGTTCTGATCTTAAACCTGCACGTGACAAACAACTGATGTAAGCGATGTCGCTTGGGCCGAACTCAGCAGAGACCCTATATATATACAAGTGCAAATACTACAATTCACATTCATCAAAACAAATGCTGTTAAAAATATTAAAATTGTATTGATTTTCTCTGAATATATTAAGGTAGAACCTATGTCGGAAAAGTCTTTGTCACAAGATTTTCAAACTTTTCAAAATGATAGATTTGCACTCGCTTGTCAATAAGATAAAAATATATGGCATGTTTCCTTGTTATTAAATGTAGTAAAGCCTGTGTAACTTGGAGTGATAATTTTACACTGCGACTACATATTTTCAGCCATTTTAGGGGTACTGGTCATAAAGAGAACATAGAAAATCACAAAAATACTTCTTCTAACATCGTCGTTGATAGACTTTATCAACTGAACCGTATTAAGCAATATTATTCAAGAATAAATTCTTTTTTATTCAATTGACATAAAAGATTAAGTCCACATTTCAACGAATATAGGCAAATGTGCTCTATGCTGTCCCAAAAAGTCGAGGACACGACAGCTAGCAAACTTAATTTATTCTCTAGGAATAAACCGTAGATGCTACAACAAAATATAAACAATACAATGTAGCACATGCAAAAACGTATCATAGGTCAGGGAGTACACTACCGATAAGCAATGAATTCATTCATGACCAAAATATTTAAATGCATAAATTAAATACATCATAGATATTGAAAGAAATGCACTATTTATCACTTATATAATGGTGAAAATGAAATAACAAAAATACATACACTGTGGGGTCTGTAAAACACCATCGATAAAATTCATAACATGAAAAACTCGTGGAGCGGAAGAAGTATATTGAACATAAACACCAAAACCAAATACCTAAAAATTTTTCGGAACGGAACACTCCCTGCCTAATATTGGTATTATTATAACAATATTACTACATAATCATATTAAATTTAACAAACACATTTCGATTCATACATTACAGTACAAAATATAAGAAAATATGGTGCAGTGACCAGGATCCTACACATAAGGTTCATTGCACTACACAAAATAATTTTCAAGGTTAAATTAGAATAAAATTTAACAGTTAATAACTCACTTCAAACTGGCAGTTTAACTGACATAAAACTGCTAATCTATGAGTCGAATAAGTTCACTTATTGGTCTTGTATATGTACACGGTTTTCCATTAATCATAACACGCACAAAAGCCTTCCGCACGAGTCCATCTGCACTGGGGAAAACTTCTTCCACAAGTCCAATAGACCACTGACATCTTGCAGACTCACGATCCTTGATGACTACTACATCTCCAACCTTCATGTTTGTTCTTTCAGATGTCCACTTTCGACGGGATTGTAAGTTCTGAAGGTAATAGGTTTTCCACTGTTGCCAGAATAAGTCAGATAAGACTTGTACTTGCTTCCACTGTTCTTTGTATATATCACGTATGTCAACATCCATACATATAGAATAGTGACCGGATATCTTCTGATTCAAAAGCATTGCTGGACTCAACACAAATGGTACCTCAGGATCGTTAGATATAGTAGTAATTGGTCTTGAATTAATTATGGCTGTCACTTCGGCCATCAATGTACTAAGTACCTCGTGAGTGACATTTTTTCCTTTAGGTCCTAAGAGTAGTGTATCCAATACTCGACGTGTTAATCCAATCATTCTCTCCCACACTCCTCCCATGTGGGAAGAGTGGGGAGCATTGAATGTCCACACAATCTTCGACTTATCAACGAAGTTTTTCACTGGTCCTTTTGTTACGTCAATCCCAAGATCTTCTGTAGCTCCGATAAAGTTAGTACCTCTGTCTGATCGAAATAAAGACACATTCCCACGAAGTGCGATAAATCTACGTAACGCATTGATGAAAGATGAGCTGGACATTGACTCCACTAACTCAATATGAATTGCTCTAGTTGTCAAACATGTAAACATAATTGCCCACTGTTTACTTTCAGCTTGTCCTCCACGTGTTTTACGTGTGACGATGGTCCAGGGTCCGAACGTATCTACTCCAACTGCACTGAATGGAGGTCCTGGAGTAATTCTGTCTGGTGGTAAATCTGCCATCCTCTGACTTTCAAATTTCCCTCGTAATCTTCTGCATATAATACACTTATGAATCACAGACGAAATTAATTTCTTTGCACCAATAATCCAGTAGCCTTTGTTTCTAATCGCACCCTCGGTGATGTGTCTGCCCTGATGAGCTGACTTCTCATGAAAATGCTGTACAATTAATTTCGCCACATGAGATTTCTTAGGAATAATGATTGGATTCTTCAGTTCCTCAGGAAGTACGCTAAGATTCAATC